TAATGTACATATAAATTCTACTTGTTTATAGTAACTTTATTCATAATTCCCAAAACTTGGAAGCAACCAAGATGTCTTTCAGTAGGTGAATGGATAAATAAACTGTGGGATATCCAGACAATGGTATATTATTTAGCGTTAAAAACAAATGAGCCAACGAGCCATGAAAAAACATTAAGAAACATTAAATGCATATTATTAAGTGAAAGAAGCCAACCTGAAAAGGCTACAATACTGTATGATAACATTCGAGAAAAGGCAAAACTATGGAGATAAAAAGATCACTGGTAGCCAAGGGCTGGGGGGAGGGAGGGATGAATAGGTGGAGCACAGAGGATTTTTAGGCAGTGAAACTATAACATCATCTTACGATACTGTAACAGTGGATACTTATTATACATTTTTCAAAACCCCATAGAACGTACAAAACCATTTAAACCTAATGTCAACTATGGATTTTGAGTGATAATAATGTGTCAACACAGGTTTACAGATTATCACAAACGTACCCCTCTGGTGCTAGATGCTGATAGTAGGGGAGGCTGTGCATATGTGGGGGGCGGGAAGTATATGAGAAATTTCTGTACTTTCCACTCTCTTTTGCTGTGAACCTAAAACTGCTCTAAAAAATGAAGCCTATTTTTAAACAGGTATATTGACACTTTAGTTGGTTTTTAATATCTGGTCTGAAGTTCTCTGTTGAGGGAGAGGATCAATTTTACCCACCTTTGTAAAGACATTATTACAATTAAACTGAATACGTAGTGTTTTTATCCTTCATTTTAAAGATAAATAAAACAAGGAAAGTGATTTGAGGATAGCTGAAACATTTCTAAAACTGGTTCAGAGCTTCTCTTTTTACAGAAATTCTTACATTTTGGGAATGAGAGTCACTAGATATGGGTAAGATACACACTGGTTAAATGCACTTAGTTTAAAAATAGAATAGAATTTGACAACTAGAAAAAATACTTGGAAAATATTTGATCAAAGCCCCTCATCTTATAAATAAGGAAACTGAGGCTCAGAGAAGCTCCATGATTCACTCCAGGTCACAAGGCTATGTAATGACAGAAGGATAAGAACTTTGGTATTCTAAAGCTTAACAGTTGCTTTTCCACTATACTACTACTATTTAAGAAAACAAAATTTTGATTAATTTCTTAAAATTCAGAGATGATAATTTTTTTCTTATTTATTTTTAAGCGGACATGAATCCAATTAGTATATTTGTTCACCGGCTAAACATTCACTCAAGCTCTGCCCATTTACTTATTTATTCTGCTCACCTGATTTGTCCCAGAGGTAATTTATAACGAAAATCATGTTTTAAGAATTCTAACAGCCAAAGAAAATGTCTTACCCAGAGAGTGAATATAAAACACATGTGTTTATCCCTAAAGCAAAGGCTATGCTCCCCACCCTACCATTGTTAGGGAGAATTTAGAATCTTGCTTGACCTCTTACAGAGGTAAAAATCTACCCTTGGTGGGAGCAGCTGTGATACTATGAAAGAAGCTACAAATAACATGCTTGGAAATTCAGCAGGCACTGTTATTATATCCTGTTTATACTGTTATTTTTCCTATCAGTAGGATATTATTTATACAGACCCCACCCATGAACTTCTTGTTTATCTTATTATAGAAATCCTCGGAATCTATAAAAAGAAGCCTGTATTTGTTTCTGGAACAAGCACATGTGTTATAATTTTGCACCTCACTACACTTTTTTATTTAGCATTTTCTTTTGTTATGCACTACTTGTTCTCATTTTTATCTCAAGGTTGATTTATTTCATTATTTCACATATTAGAGTTGATCTTTGATTTTAAGAGACTCCCTTACGGGACAGAGATTCCGGAGCACCATATCCTAAACTTTACTTTGGGGTAGATTTCATCAGACAGATATTCTTCTAAGATATACTTGACTAATTTATTTAAAGACAGAAAAATGTGCCTATATACTGATCAGGTACCCCAGTGAGTGAGCCCTGGATGCCTAGAAGGCTTCCTACTCAGGCTAGTCTATCCCAGGTGGGCCAAGTAGGAGGGCCAGACTTTATACTGGTTCTAACTCACTCACTATTCTCTAGCTGTATCTCTTTTCTGAAATGAAAAGCCCTGCCCCTGAGTTTAGCTTGATGGCTAGATGGGCTAGGTGAAAGTGTAACATGATAATACATAAGAAATACACAAATTCAGTAAGTTTACCAATGGGACAATGAACCAATCTGGTTATAAATCATCCTCATTTCCATGTTTATGTAAATAACTGAATTAAAGTAGATAAAAGAAAAATGCGAGTTCCTTAAGGGTAGAAATTCATGCAGCAATTATTCATGAGCAAATAAATAATTATTTCTGGAGAGGGAACATCACTGGACAAAGTCACATGGGATTAATTTTCACATGTATAGCTTGTGTTACCTTCACCAATACTCCCTTCACCCTACAAGGCAGCACTACAAGGTAGCTAGGTAAACATGAAATCCTCAGAAAGAGCTGCTTTTAAAGAACATTACTCTAAAAAGCATAACTGAAATGAGCTTTAGTACCTCAGGGTGGTGAACTAAGTTAGTTAATTTCAGAAAAAAGAGAGGTCTACATGGGCTAAAGTGATCAAAGAAGTCAGAATGAGTATGTTAACTGAGGTAATCTTGATAAACAGGAATTTATAAAAGGCTGAGGTGAAGAGGTAAAAGGCATCCCAGGTACAACCAACGATTTCTAAGCATCCAAGTGAGCGGAAAGAGCTCTGGAAAGAGCGACTAGCTGAATTCAGACAGGGAGTATATTGAATAGTAGATGGCAACAAAAAGAAGGTTGGAGTCAGATTATAAGGAGTTTCATTTTTCAGACCACAGAGAACCATCAAAGATATAAGAACATGGGAAAATGAACCCAAGCTTTTGCACTAGGAATGAAGAGGAGGAAGAATAAGTTGGGTTAAGACTGAAATGGGGGAAGAAGTTTTTAACAGTACCAAATCCTATGATTATAGTAGCAAAAGAAAGGTCCGTGTGATATAATAGATAATAAATGTGTAAAAATATTTTCCACTCTGCTTTCAAAAACAGGAGATGGCATCATGATGACTATTACCAAGTGGGGCCACGTTAAACAACCCCAGTCCATTGCAGTTAATGTCAGGAAAGTCTACCAGTCTCCTAGAACAGTACTTCTCAAACCCAAATCACCTGGGGATCTGGTTAAAATGTAAATTCTGTTTCAGTAGGTTTAGGGTGGTACTCTGTATCTTTACATTTCTAACAAGTTCCCCACACTGTTGTTCCATGGACTACATTTTGAGTAGCAAGATTCTAAAACATCTTTCAGTTTCTCTTTCCAAAAGGGCAATATTTGATATACTATATTTAATCCATCATGGTATATCTAAATGCTTTTAGATATGCCTAAGAAATTCCTTTTAAAGGTATTCTATTATAATTTGCATCAATGTCAGATGGGTTTCAAAAGCTACTGTTTTAAAAGTCCAAGATGATTCAAGATTCAGGGTATTCAAGATAGAAATATTTTCACCTAGACAAAGTCAACTTTATAATGCTGTTTTATAACACTATAATTTTGCCATTTTTTTCAGGCTGGCAAACTAGAAGATACCATTGCTTCTAATCTTGGGGGCTGAAGTAAAAGCCCTGAAAGACAACACTCCATCTTTTAATAGTGCACAACAGTGGGTTTTGGTAAAATCCACTTAACTTGCCCTTAAGTGCCCTTAGCACCATACCTTAATCCTCGAAGATAAAGGTAACAATTTATTTTAAATATCCTATTGAAAAACACCTGAGGATTACAAAAATTAAATTCACACACCTTCCTTCTGTTTAAGATTTCTATAGGATATGCCTTTAATTAAGGTCTTTTACCATGAACAGAGTTGCCAATTTATAAAAATATATTACCAGTGTTATATATTACATACACACGTACTAAGATTGGCTGACCTTAGATTCTTGGGATGAAATTTAAGACTTCTGAAATCTCAAGTTTCATTTTTAACCAAATTAACGGTCAATAACAACCTTTTAGGTAAATAAGCTTCTATGTGTATCAATGTCTAGGCAACAGAAGTAATATTTTAAAATTGGAAGGTACTGTTGAAGATCAGATCCAACAGTTTCATTGTAGAGGTAAGAAACTGAGGCACAGAGGCTAAAAAGCCCCGAGTCACATAGCTGCTAGTGCATGTTAAAAAAAAGGAAGGGGGAGGAACAAATTAATTTTCATATCTATCAATGTACAATGTACAATGATGTATAAACTACAAAATGTAGTTTCTGATTCCTCTAGTGACTAATGCATAGTTGATTTTATTGAGGTCTTATAAATCATTGATATCCAACAAAGGAAGACTAAATACCAACAAAGGAAAGACATGTTACCCCATGATTTAAGAACTTCATAAAAATGCAATCTGAATAGAGAATGACACATATACACCACATACTCGGGATGGGGCTGTGGTGGGGTGGGTAATGGGATGGGATATAAAGAACAAAGAGAAGACAATGGTAACTTATCTTCTCAGTAATAGTTTGAGGAAAGCTTGCACATACAGAAAAGTGGTTAAAAAACATAATTTCTTTTACTCTCATGAATCATTTTTTATTGGGGATTAGATGTGGAGGACTGCAAAGCTTTTAAAAAGATGAAATGTAGACAGCAGTTGGATGTGCATGTGTCATAAGTTCTGTCACAATTAAAAGAAAACCAGAGAACCCTTTATAGCCATAAAATAATGAATTTTGTGCTTATTACAAATGCTATAAAATTTACTAGCACAAGTAAAAAAATAAAATCACTGGAGAAATTCCATGATATTGGAGACAATGGGCTTTAAATCACAGGCATACATTATTATGCCTAAGTTGACAGATCTGCACTGCAATGCAGAAATGCAAGCAATATTCCAACATCTGCACCAGAAGGCAGAGACTAGACATGATTCCAGAATAAAGGGCTCTTCAGCTCTTACCTGTTACCTGTGCAACAACTGCTTGGGAAATCCTCCGATTGGCAAGAAAGGCTTTGATTTCCTCTTTTATCACACTGCTGTCCCTCCTAACAAAAACAGAAGACAAGACCAACAATGTATGTTGAAGGTAGAAATCCTCATCTTTGCTAAGAAAGGTGAAGCAAAGAGGTGGGGAGAACATAGAAAGAAAGGACACAAAAATAAAGGTAAACAGACCAGGCTTGTGTGAAAATATGAAATTAAAACAAACCAAGAAACACCAAATATTCAAGTCCTAAAACATCACACCATCAGACAGACGCTTTAGTGAATGCCATAGTAGATATAAGTCTCATACCAGAGGATGGTTAATCACATGCTGTGTATAATTCACATTAGGAACAAGGTTGCCATATGGTATATACAAAGTTTCATTACTGGGGAATGAATATATCTTATACAGACAAATCCTAGAAAAATAAAAAGCAACAACGACAAAAATCAGTTGTGAGTAGATTTTGGTTTGCATGTTAACTATGCAACTGCATAAATAATGTTCAGTTCATTTTAAAACCTTTGTTAAAGGAATAGAAATCATCATTCTCACAAATGCTAAAATATTAGCCATTTTAAGAAAGGTTTTGCCTTTTAATTTGCCTTCTTTTTCCTGTATAAACCAAAAAAATTTTAAGTGAGATGGGTTGAATATAAACTTTTAATATAAAAAGGCATTTATTAATTTTACATTACATGTAATAAACAGTATACTTTAAATTATATTCTGTGTCCTTGGGATTATATATTATAGACCTAATATTTCCTCCACTAAGATGCCTTATAAATTGTTACTTATTTAAAAATTCAACAAATTCTCAAAAGACTAAACATTCACTAGAATGACAATGAATGGCAAGTCTTCTATTCCTCCACCAGAACAAATAGAATGCTTAAGTAAAAATTATACTTAAACCCTTAAAACTGACCAATTTCTCTGTGAAAGCTTTATGTCCAAAAGGATTACATAAATAGAGCACTGATTTTTGTTCAAGCTCAAAAGAAACACAGAATAGTGGTAATTTATAATCTAATAATACCAGGATCAGCAAACCATGGCCCAAATCTGGCCTCCAACCTGTTTTTATACAACCTATGAGCTGAGAACAGTTCTCACAGATGAACATTTGCAGTCAATTTGATAACAGAGAACACTAACTTTGAACATGAAGTAAACAAAATATTATCTCCTTCCCCCCCTGAAAATTCCATTCTTCTCATTAGTAGGCCTGTATTTTTAAAATTATACTCAATTTTATTATTCTATATTTCATTTTGTCAATAAAAATTTGTGACCATTTGTTTGCTCTCTTGTATGCAACTATCTATATTATATCCTCAACTTTGCCTCTTGGCCACAAAGTCTAAAAGGTTTACCATCTAGCCCTCTACAGAAAAAGTTTACTGACCCCCAATCTGAGACAAAGGGATCATGAAATCTTCACAAATCGTTTTGTGAATGAACCACAAACTCCTTATGGGAGCTCAAGTCTCTCTAAAGATTATCTGGATCAATGAAAGAAAAGTTTCCCATCCAAAAAGAATCAGTTTTGATTTAACTTAGAGCAGATATTTTATTAGCCCCTTGCTGAGGAGGGGCCATACACGCTGTTGGTGGAGTCTAGGCTCCCTTTCAGGAACTCTGGAAAAAAGCAGAGAAGTGAAGGAAGAGACTGGTCCTGATCTACTGGTCGGAAATACTAATCAAAAAGATTCCTAAAGGAAGAAAATAGCTACCTAATTTAATATTTAAAATTTCTCATACTGATCTAGATTCTGATATAGACACTGGCTAGATTCCTTCCAAAATGCTTGTTTACATTTGATATATTTCTTTGAAAAATATGCATTCTCATTTTATTTTTAAAATTGTGTATCTGAAAGAAAAAGGCACAAATAAATACATTTTAAAGTCAAACAAAATAACAAACTGCTGAGTAAAATACAGGTAATGTAGACCAAGCAGCTCTCAAATATCCATCAATAATCAGTTGAGCAAGAGAGAACTGCAGCAGTATCCATTTCAATTGCGTTATGTAAATAAAACAACCAAATCATTTGGTTTCTGACACAGCTGCAAAATTAATCTGAAAAAATTTAAATAAAGCATTGCATTCAATGTATAGAATGTCCTTCTAGGAAATTGAAAACTGAGTTTAAGAGAATATTTTTTAAGGTTAAATAAAAAATTATGTGCTTTTTGTGGAGAAAATGATTAAACAGTATTTTCTTTTTTTTTTTTTTTAATTTTATTTATTTATTTTTTTCCCCCAAAGCCCCAGTAGATAGTTGTATGTCATAGCTGCACATCCTTCTAGTTGCTGTATGTGGGACGCGGCCTCAGCATGGCTGGAGAAGCGGTGCGTCGGTGCGCGGCCGGGATCCGAACCCAGGCCGCCAGCAGCGGAGCGCGTGCACTTAACCGCTAAGCCACAGGGCCGGCCCAGTATTTTCTTGATTACTGATTTAAATTAGAATTTAAATCAATTTATTTTAAATCACATTCACTTAAAAGTAGACACTAAATCATAAAGAGATAACACTCAATTATTGCCATAGCAAATATCCAGTTTGTGAATTATTCACAGCCTTGCAGTATGATATTATCAAGGACTGCAGCAAGACAGAAAGAACTTCAAAAAGTCTGCAAAATAGCAGCAGTTCAGTGAGCCTCTCATAGGCTATATTTTTATATGTGTGGCATGGTACTCACCATGAATTAAAATAAAAATAAAAACCTCTTTACTCAACTACTTTACCAGAGAGAAGCTGTTTCAAACTGAAGAAAAACATAAGACTTAAAATATAAGGGTGTGCTTGGGCAAGTCACTTAATAAAGCTGGACTCTGGTTTCATCATCTGGTAAAATGAGAACATGAATACTCCCATCATAGACTTTTAAAATTTCTCTCCAACCACTGAACTTAAATTTAAATGAAATTTAATATTAAATGTGTGTGTATAAGTGTGTGTATAATACATAAAATAAAAAATTCTTCAATGTAAAAAGTTTTGAAACTGTAAAAGCATTACATAAACAATGACTATTATTTTATAAAATCCCAGAAAGAATCCCAGGAAAAGAAGAAACAAATGATCTGCTATAACTATACAAGATTGAAGTAAACATCTGTATCAGGTACTTCAAGGCAACATGGAAACATTTCTATAGTTAATTTAGATACAAGCAGTGATGTGTCATTTAGTTGGTTTCACTAGGTACTTTAAAAACAGTAACAGCATTCAACTTTCACTGTACCCAATTCTCTTTATGTATTTCAAAGGCTTCCATTCTGAGTTAACTTTGTTCTTTAAACTTTCACATATTCCCCTTCATTCAGCTTTCTTTAACAACTGGCCTCTCCTATTGTCCACATTGTACCCTGTGAAATCACCAGCTTCTTGGTGTGAAAACTCCTTCGTTTACTCCAAATCTAATTCTCTCATCTTCTCACTTTCTCTCTCCATCTGAAATTTGACATCCTCTTTAAAGAGAATGAATCCCTTTTTCCTCCCTTCTTTTACAAAATCTCACACTCACAACTTCTACTCCTCAAGTCTTATGTAATTAAAGTGAAGCGTAGGCTGATCTTTTTTGATTCCACAGCTTACTTCCAAGATAAGCTACCACTCTATTTGCATCCAACCACTTAAAGTCCACGTCATCTCTTCCTATTACCTTTTCCAAATCACAGCCATGCTAGATTCATCTATCTGGGTGACTTCCACACGAGGATAAAATTCTTCCTTTCCACCCTCCATTGCCCTTATTTTTATAACTTACTAAACTTTCCATTTTTACCTACAGACCTTTCTTAGTATCTGGATGAATTAATCAGTAATGCCTCTTTGTGGAATCACTCTTTTGTAAGACACAATTTAATTGTCATCTATTCAGAGAAGTTCTCCCTGATCCTCAGAGCTAAAAAGGATCTTTTCTTCTAATAGCTAACTTTACCATTTCAATTATATCACTCACATGCTAATACATTACATGTTATTCTGTATTACAGTTGTTCTTGATCTGGTCTTATCTCTCCTACTAGCCTGTAAAGTCCTTTAGCACAAAGATTTTGTCTTATTCATCATAGGGACTGCATATAATAGAGCTTAATTTGTTCAATGAATGAACAAATCTGTAGTTGAAAGATAAAAGGTTGTAAAATGGAAAACTTGATCTAGATAATTTATAAAACAGCTCTAAAAACTTAATCTCAAATATGTTTAAGCTTCCGCAATCAGAATGGAAAACAGTTCTTTATGCTAGCTTGAAATAGCAATGCTTCCTTTTCTGGAACGCAGGATATTAAAGATTGCATGTTTAAAAGTGGTATGCTTTTAAGATCTTCTCTATTCTCTTAGTTGATATACACTACACAGTCTTTAGGACCTCTTAAAGGTAAGCCATCGATCTCAAAAACTTTCAGAGATGGAGCAATACCTACCAAGACAGACTATTTCACAGGTGGAAAAATGTAATTACATATACATTCTTTCACGTTTGAATAAAAACTTGCTCCCTTTAATGTCTACCCAGGAAGATAAAGCATAATTTAAAATGTTAAAAGATAACTTTAAAAGAAAAGTTACTCTCTACGTATAAATAACCTGGTAACTGATTACTATGACCTATAGAACACAAATACCCTTCCTACACAAGTAAATAACCTATTGTTAGGCATATAGATAACCAACTCAGAGGAAAGTCTCAGAATCTTGTATAGGGGCCGGCCCCGTGGCTTAGCGGTTAAGTGCGCGCGCTCTGATGCTGGCGGCCCGGGTTTGGATCCCGGGAGCGCCCCGAGGCACCACTTCTCCGTCCAACGCGAGGCCGGGTCCTACGTACGGCAGCTGGAGGGATGTGAACCTATGATGCTGGCGGCCCGGGTTTGGATCCCGGGAGCGCCCCGAGGCACCACTTCTCCGTCCAACGCGAGGCCGGGTCCTACGTACGGCAGCTGGAGGGATGTGAACCTATGACGTACAGCTATCTACTGGGGCTTTGGGGGGAAAAAACTGAATAAATAAAATCTTTAAAAAAAAAAAAAAAAAAAAAAAAAAAAGAATCTTGTATAAAATACTAACACTCATAAAATTTAGTACATGAGTAGTTAAGAATAACATCTTTAATATATGGCATTATTTACTAATTCTAATAAGCCTCATTTCAGTTGTTATTTTACAATATATACACAACTAAATAAATACTTTAATAGATGTATGCTACTATATTAGCAGATGTACATATATACCTACATACAAATATATATGTTAATAGATGCATTTTAAAAATATTAATATGTAAAATGGGTCTTCATTCTAGCTCTTGGCTTTCAAGTCCTTCCTAAAATGTTATATTCAACCATTTGTTGAGAATTCACATTCTAGTTTCCCTTTCTTTTCTTTTTTTCCACCCTGATCAATTAAAAAATGGAAAAAGTAGCAGTTACTTTCTTTCTGATTCTTTCTTAACAAGTTGATCAGGTGTATAGTTACAACCTAATCAAGTCTGACCAAAAAAAAAAAAACCTCTCCTTTGTGTACCCTGACATTGTTAGGAGCTACGTTTGTGGACTCAGTGCATTATGAGATTTGAAAAATATATCTTATGGTTGAGCGCGCTGGGAGGTTGGGGAACATGAGCATGCAAGATGTGAATTACATATGATATACATAGAAAAGAAGGCAAGAAGGCATTCAGGTACCCATTTTCCCCAACTAGAGATTACCAAATCCAACCCACAGTAACATCACCATAGTGCTGAGTGATCAGCAAGGGCAGTACAGCTCTACATGGACAAAGGATACTCAGAAAGATCCACTGCTCAAAAATTTCTCCTAACAGTCTACCAAATAAAAATTCATTTGGTTAGTAAGTGATTGATTTGAAGTGGCAAATATCATGTTGGGGGCAAAAGATAAGCCCATTAACGCATTCACACTTTGTCTTGAGTTACATTAACCACCATTCCTAAAATCTGATTGAAATCTACAGACATGAAAATTTATTTACAGAGGCAACAGATACCAGCGACACATCGGTAATAAAGACATGGGTTAGAATTCAAGCTCTGCCACTTAATATGTAAAGTTTTCTTGGGCCAATTATTTAATTTTTGTGAATCTCAATTTCTCTACTCCACCTCACATACAGCATGGTTGTAATGATTAAAAGTGAGAGCAGTCATGCAGTAAACTTCTCCCTCCGATCCAAGAATTGTTACTATCTGCAAACTTGAGAAAAATGAGAGGTGTGCACAAAGGAGGAGTGCAGGTGTGGGTGAGGGCACAATGGTAGAGGACCACAGAGAGCCAGAAGGTTCAATGAGACCCCTAGATGATTAGAGGACACCAAGATAGCAGTTATGAGACAGAAGCAGAGAAAAGGAAGAAGACAAACTGTCCTATGTAACAAGTGGCAGTATGTAAATGAAATACTGATAACAATATATAAACATGTATACATTTAATGATGAAACTTGAATGTGTGTAACTGTGAGATTTAACTACAAATCCTAGTCATTGCTAAATAGGTTTTCCGTTTATTTCAAGAACACAGTTGAATTATATCATTATGACAACTTAAGAGTTAATAGATAAGTTTTCAGATCCTTATAGTCAAGTTTTAGACCCTGGCCAATCTTCCAAGCCTTTTGTTTTCAAAAAGAAAGTTTTCCCAAACTTCTTGTTAGTCTAATACATGTTTGGGAATTAACTGTTATGTTAAAAAGCATATTAAAACTGATTAGCGACAGCAACAACAAAAAAACAAGCTAGCATACTAACAAACAAATTTTTGTTGATATCCTCTCTACTCAAGATAATTAAAACCCAACCTTGTTATATTTCATTGACTGAATTCAATGACTGAAGTAACTTCTATTTGCCCAAATGGTTCTCCCTCTTAATCATGACAATGATGTATATGTTAAATTCGAAAGGAACATCTGAACTTTGGCCAGCTGCTTTAACAAGTGAAAATGAATTCAAAGCCAAATTGATCTCTTATATTTTTAAGTTTTAAAAGCTTAAATAACAAGGTCTTGTGGCTGCTCTATGAAACTATTCATTACAGGAATTACATTGGAATCTAGATACAATAGTCCATTTAGCCTACAATTCCACATAAGGCAGTTCTACCCTAAAAATAATTTCAGGACAGTTTGTTTAAAAGATATCTCACCATTGTGGTACTATAGGATAGATCTACCATATGGCAATATTAAGTCACCATTATACTATCTTCAAGTGTTAAAATCTTCAGGAAGAAATATAACTCATAATTACAGGATTTAGTTCTATTTCTGACAAATTCCTGCTACAGCTTCTTTCATTACTTACTGTAACTAATCTATCTGTAGGCTCTCCTACTACAGTAGTGATAATCTACTGAAAACAATGCTTTCATCATCTCTTTTCCTACAGACCTGAAAAACTCCTTAATTCCAACCAAATTAAACGTAAACTATTTGTATGGAACTCAGATCTTCCAAAACCTATACTGCCTCCTAATATACTATTCTTACTACCATAGTCTAGCCCATCTGCAATCTTTATAAGACTAAACATGCCTTGCCTCTTCTACCTTTTACTATTCCCTTAACTTTAAATAAAGTTCCTATATTTCAAAACAGAGCCTATCCTTTAAGGTTTAGCTCAAATTCATCCATTCACTTAACATACTAAGCCCTTACCATGTGCCAAGGACACTTCCAGATCCTGGAGAGACAGCAGTCGAAAACACATGGTTGCTGCCCTCAAAGTGTCCCAGGTCGTGTGAAGCCTTTCCTAATTACCTCTGTTGAAAGTGGACTTCTTCTTTTCTCAGTGTTTAAAACTCTAAGTGCTTACACTTATCTCGTAGTAGATAACATTTAAAAAATAATATATATATGTATACATATATATGGCATCTATTGCTAAAATTAGAATTTTAGCTTCTTAGGAGTAGAAACCACATCTATTTTTCTTCCTAAGAACATTACTTTTTTTTTTTTTTGTGAGGAAGATTAGCCCTGAGCTAACATCCGCTGCCAATCCTCCTCTTTTTGCTGAGGAAGATTGGCCCTGGGCTAACATCTGTGCCCATCTTCCTCTACTTTACATGTGACACTGCCACAGCATGGCTTGACAAGCGGTGCATCGGTCTGCGCCCAGGATCCGAACCTGCAAACCCAGGGCTGCAAAAGCGGAGCACATGAACCTAACCGCTACGCCACCGGGCCGGCCCTAGAACATTACTTTTTATATAACAGTTGCTCAAAATTATTTTGTTGATTGGTATGATGGAGGGAAAATTAAGAATGCACATAATATATATCATGACAAAATCATCTTATCCCTCAGAAAAAGTACTTACAACAGATTTAAGGATTAGAACATATCTGTTAATTCAGAAAATTCAGATGTTAGCAATTAGAGTCATAAAGAGAAGGCTAACCTTTGCTTTGACAAACAGAGAGAATGGAAAAGGCTTATTAAGCAGCAAAGAGAAAGGGCTGAAGTAGAGAAGAGAACATTTGAATTAAAAACATAAAATTTGAAATTTTTTTCTTTCATCTCCAAAGAGAGGAGGGAGAAATGACAGTTTTTATAGGTAAGTAGCTGAAATACAGCTTATTATTCAAAACAAATCTAAGAATATAGACATTCTGGGGACTCCGAATAAGCAAAGGAACTAACCTCATTAATTCCTCTACTTTATCATCTACATCTAGATCCTCTTCTGAGGCTTCAAAACTGTATGATCTCTGACCCATGCTGTTTGCATGGTAGCGAGTTGGTGACATCTTTCCATTGGATGTGGATAATCGCTCATTATTCTCCCTCCCATTTTGATTGGTAGTGCAAGGCTGGGGGGAAGTATCATAACTGTTGCTAGGTGATGGGGACATTCCGGAATGCTGGGTCTGTGTGGAAGCTGTAGCTGTAGAGGAAGATGCCGGAACATTGTTGGTACTATTCCCATATGAACTTCCTCCATAGCTGGACCTTCTTCCAAACTTGTCACTATGCTCTTGATCAAGACGGTCCAAAGTTTCCAAGGCATGGAGAATTTCATGTTTAGTCATTCCAGTACGCCGAAGGCGTTGAAGCAGATCTATCTGCTCTATGGTAAATCTGGGTTCATCTGTATAGTGAGACATGGTTTCCAGCAAACTAAAAAAAAAAGGATTAAAAAAAATTTCCTTTATTTACAACATCTACCAAACAACATATAATTATAGACAATGCTCAGCAGAAAATGCAATACTTCTACATCAACTTCTTTACCAAAAATGATTAAGACACTATTATAATAACAATAATTATAACCCCATGCTAGAATGTTTTTGTCATGGCAAATGGACTGGTATAGATATTGACTTTATTAGCAGATGGACATTAAGTACAACATAAAACCTAATTTCATATGGCATACAATTTACATTTTCCTCAATTTGGCAAATATCTGAACCAAAATCTCAGTTATAGCAATAACACCAAAATGACAGATTAGGTGCATACAGTATTAAGCCTAGGCTATGTGACTAGTCACAGGTGTTTTTTCCATCTCAAATTTATTATTCTACATTAGAGCATTAATGGAAAGTTGCTGAAAAAATAGTTTGTATTATCTTGTTTTACTAAATATCAGGAAAACTGACCTAGGAATTCGATAACTTCATTTAGTGTAAACAAACAATTTGGTAAGCTAAGCTCAAGCAAATACTAATAACCAGCAAAAATACTGAAATGGAAAAGTGAGAGGTACATAAAAAATCTTATTAAGTACCATTTTACCCACCACTTAGCAATTTTGTATTTCATCTCTATAATGCATTCTCTAATAGTTATCCTGAGAAATGGATCTTTTGTGGTTGTAGCCAAACTGAACTATTCATTTTTCTTAGGAAATTGCTTCTACATTATGTTTCCTTTAACACAAGATACTGCAGCACACCAGAAAATGTCTCAGAGTCAATAACAATATTAAGTTTAAGGGAATTATCAAATCTCATAAAAATTCTCACTACTTAAATTCCTTTCTTATAAAATCTGACTTTCCTAATTTAAGATTGTTTAAAGTGGTAATTTCTTCTATTTTTATTTTTATAGTTTTAGTGCTAAATAGGATGCATGGCATGCAGTAGGCTCTCAGTAAGTGTTTGCTGATGGAAATAAAAGTCAAGGAATTTTCTCATCCTTTACAGGTAAATATCTGCTCTGGGCCATTCCCCTAAGCTGTTGGAGATCTGCTTCTTCGCCCCTCTATACTAAAAATTTTTGATTACTCACTTCTAGGCAGGCATTGGGCAAGAGTTTCATATCTCATTTAATCCTCACAACAACCCTCTGTGGTAATTTTTTTTTGAATTTTATATTGATTGATTGTTGAGGAAACTAAGGCTCAGAATAATTTTGTACTTTGCAAAAAGTTTGATTGAGAAGTAGAAAAAACGATTCAAACCTAAATCTTACTGACTCCAAAAGCATACATCATTCTGCTTTCCAATATATGGCAAGACTTACTGGAATCATATGATCTGGCACATAGGCTATTGTACTCTTTCAGGTCTCCAGTTAAAACCACTTAGATAAAAAACCACTCTACTGACGGACTAGGGGTTCTAGTAACAGTATTTTATATTTAAAATCTTTGCTCTATCTAGAATTTATATTTACTCACTGAGTGTGAAAGGATTTGAGGTTTATTTTTTCCCAAATGGATAGCTGGTTGTCCAATATACTTCATTGAGTAACATATCTCTTCTTCTCTGATCTGAAACGCCACATTTATCATATAGGTACAAAATTTCCACACAAACCTGTAGCTACCTTTGCATTCTCTATTCTACCATTGATTGTTTTGTCTTTCAAATACTTTTAAAAATAAGCAGGCAGAAATCTAGAATTTTTATGTGAAATTGCTCTAGTTTTAGAGATAGGCTCATTAAATTAAAAACAAACAGGGGCCGGCCTGGTGGCATAGAGGTTAAGTTCATGCGCTCCACTTTGGTGGCCTGGGGTTTGCTGGTTTGGATTCTGGGCGTGGACCTACGCAACGCTCATCAAGCCATGCTGTGGTGGCGTCCCACATAGAGCAACTAGAAGGATGTACAACTATGATGTACAACTATCTACTGGGGCCTTGGGAAGAACAAAGGAAAAAAAAGGAGGAAGACTGGCAACAGATCTTAGCTCAGGGCCAATCTTCCTCAAAAAACAAAAACAAAACAACACAAAATATAGAAAAAAATAAAAACACCAACATTTTGTGGACCCAAAATAACATGTTGCAGGCCATTTGTGCCCATGGGCCACAGTATCTGTCTTATACCTATACATATCATCTTCTGCTTTCTTGCAATATTCATTTGTGACAAGCTATCCATCATAAAAGTCCTAATTTCATGATTATTACATTCTTTCTTGATTGCGTAGGCTTTTTCCTCCAACATTTTATAATGAAAAATTTTAAACATACAGAGAAGTTGAAATAAATTTACAGTGAATACCCATATACTAACCACCTAGTCTTTACCATTAACATTTTACTTGCTTTATCACATATCTATCCATCCCCTTATGCATCCATCCCTCTATTCATCTTATCTTTTGATGCATTTCAAAATCAGTTACAGACATCTATACACTTCCCCCTAAATACTTTCACATGCATATGATTAACTAGAGCTCCGTATTTGTTCAGGTTTTTTTCTTTTGAGGTAAAATTTACATAAAAGAAAATACACAAATCTTATGTTTACCATTCTATGAGCTTTGAGAAGTGCATACACTGTGAAACTCAAATTCCTATGAAGATATGGAACATTACCATCACTCCAGGAAGTTCCCTCATGCCTCTTCCCAGTCAATCCCTGTCTCTTCCCTCAAAGGCAACCACTGCTCAGATTTTTTTCCCACCACAGATTAGTTTTGCCTGTTCCAGAACTTCATATAAATGGAATTTCTACGTACTCTTTTGTGTAAGGCTTCTTTCACTCAGCATAAAGTTTCTGATATTTCATCTATGATATTGTATCAGCATTTTGTACCTTTCTACTGCAGAGTAGTACTTCACCATAGGAATATACCACAGCTTTGTTTATCCATTCTATTTTGGACACTTGGAGTGTTTCCAATTACTAGCTATTTTAAATGATTTGGCTATTAAAATTGTACTCTACTAATTTTCTTGTTAGCTTAATATATCCCCCATAATAATATTATCACCTAGTTGGGAGAGAAGAGAAAACTTTCAACCAGAGTAACTTGTTTACTTTTTCTCCTGACCAATTTCAAAAGAACAGTACACTTTGCTTAACACAAATGATTTATTATTAAAATGCTATGCAGTGTTGGTAATGTTCTACGTTCTGTTAGTTACATTACACAGGTGCATTCACTGTGAACACTCATCCAGCTGTACCCTACTGATTTCTGCATTTTTCAGTAGATATATTATACTTAAATAAAGTTTGTTGAAAAAGCTATGTGAACATTTTCCTAATGGCTTATAACAGACACTTAACACTTTAATTTCTCTTCTAACCCTCAGCCCTTTGTCCACTCTACTAAGTGCTTAGTAATATATTAATCCTTAATCCTAGGAAGTTCTTTTAAAAAGTAGCTGCTGAATTCCTTTAGTAATCCAAATAATTTAGCCCTTAATTTATTGATTTAGTAAACTGAGGTTTCTAATTCTTTCCCTTTGAAAATGAGGTAGACCTGTCCACTGCTAACTTCAGTCTTCATCCTTTCCAAATACTTTATAAACTGACTTTACTTTAGATATGAGACTTCAAGAATTGTTTTGGGGCCGGCCTGGTGGCGCAAGCGGTTAAGTGTGCGTCCTCCGCTGCGGCGGACCGGGGTTCGCCAGTTTGGATCCCGGGCGCGCACCGACGCATGGGACGCACTGCTTGGCCAGCCATGCTGTGGCGGCGTCCCATAAAAAGTGGAGGAAGATGGGCACGAATGTTAGCCCAGGGCCAGTCTTCCTCAGCAAAAAAAGAGGAGGATTGGTAGATGTTAGCACAGGGCTGATCTCCTCAGGGAAGAAAAAAAAAAAAAAAAGAATTGTTTTATTATATGGACCCAAAAAACCCAATCATGATGTTTTCCTATCCTAATACAGCAGAGCAGATAGTAATTTGTATATAACTCTTCAAAACTCTCTCTGTATGGAGTAGCACTCTGTACATTGGCCTAAAACTAAAATAAATTATATGAATTTAACCTGTTACTGAAACATATCCATCCTAAAGCTTGTTATTAGAACTATCAGAAGTAAATATTCCACAGTATTTGAAACAATGTAATATTTTATGTCATTCCAGATTCACTGACTGAACCACTTTTATTCCAAAAGTCATAAAAGGAGATAACAGAAGGCACCTATTATTTTGTCTGCCTAGAATGTCTCATTGTTTCCAACCACATGTTCCTGGGGCTGCCACTCACAATACCCCACGCCTCCTGGCCAACGCGTGGGCACATAAGGAAGCCAAGCCTTGCTCTCCTCAAAATACTAGGTTAGACTAACGGGAAGGTGGACAGTCACTATAACTGTGCTCAGTTGCAGGAAGATGTTAATCTGGTACATTCCTCACCTATGTGGAAGAAGCTAGTTTGTAGGGAAAAAAAAGCAGACGTACCAAGTAATGCAGAGCAAAGGAGAAAGCTCTGCAGTGTTCATATCCCTTGTTCTAGTAATTCCTAACCCCCTGCTACATCCCTGCTTCTCTTGTTGTATTGTTATGTAAGAGTATAAAATTCCCTTTATGCTTTACTTTGTTTAAATTAGATGTCTGTGCCTTGCACCAACAGAGGTCCCTAATAAAAGATACACCTAAAGTAAAAAGGTCTATAATTGCTGGAATGAAATGTATGATCGTTGTAGAGTAGAATGATAATGGCATAATGAGCAGGATCAAACCATGCATGTGACACTGAAAGTATAACATTTTACTGAGAAAATGCCAAGATTAGAAGCTTTCTTGGATATAGAGAATAATATTCCAATGTGTATTAACATAAACAAAGGCACACATCTGTCATTTCCAAATTTTATTTTTCATAATTTATCTAGTTTAAGCACATAATCATGAAGTTATGGCAGTATATGACCTACAAAGGTCATCTAAGTCCAGGATACCAGCAATTCTTTTGTAAGAGAGAGAGAGAACAAGTAAGAACTGAATTAATTTTCTTATGTAGCACAAGGACTGTTCATAGGATAAGGAACATCTTTCACTTTAAATTGCTAATCTGAATGCAGGTTCAGGCCAACAATTGAAAATGATGTGAGAAGAATTTCAACACTGCAATAATACAGACAATGTTTAAAACATAAAAGAACAATTAAATTCAGGAATTATAGCTCAGTTCATAAATTGATGTTTTAAAAGACTATACTATCAGACCATAATAGTAAGCCTATTTTACAATAAATTTTATCCCTACTTGGATACGTACTAAACCCTTCTTGGATAAGGCATGAAGTCCAGAACATACTTTCTTAAACTAAATTCTACAAACAACTAGAGCAAAGAAAGGTAAAGCATGCATAAATGATTAATCTTGAAATCACATGCACAAAAATGACATTACTACCTTACTTGTAAAGCATCAAGAGTTAATAAGATTTTATTGGATAACACAGCATTTTCTTCAGCTTGATTCTGCTGTCTTTATCTTTTTATCTAGAATGACTAGGCAAAATATGGCCTAGTCATAAGTTAGTTTTGTTTTGCATATCAGACATTTACTGCATGATGATTTAACACATTCTATAGTCAGTCATAATATTCGTCAACTAAAGATGTACTCAGGCCCTTCTTACTATTTATGGTACATTACCCTCTTTCACAACTATTATCATCAAAGGAGTGGCAGTCTTAAGAAAATCACAAGAAGTAAGAATAAGAAATGAATATTTACTGGGGACTGAGTTGACAGTATGGTAAAATGATTTTAAAATTCAAACCAATGGGAGAACTGACTAAAGCAAAAAAATCAAGGCTATGACTATAGATAACAGTATAAAAATGTTCTTTTCATAATAAAAAGATTTCGAGAAAAATATGATTATATTCCAATGCGCCAATCACATTTTCATAGTTATTTTTCAATTACCACTGATTAAGATTGAGATTAATTATAGCCACCTTACACATTTGGAAAAAAAAAATCCAAGTAAAAACATGTAAGTTTATAGAGGAAGATATAAATTAGGTGTGGAATCAGAGAACTGGAAACCATTTAGACAAAAATTTCATTCTTTCAACTAACATTTATTGAACGCCTCCTATGTGTCAGATCATATAGAAGGCAGAGAAGATGCAACAAGGAACAAATTAGCAAAAATTCCTGGCCTCGTGATGCTTACATTCTAATGGCTATTGAAAATAGTGATCAGCAAATAAACCATAAAAAAAAAGAGAAATTATGGCTCAAAGTGATGAAGTGCCTTCCCATTTCCCAAAGACACAGCTACTTGAAGAAACTCAAGCAACAGTTCACATCACCTGGGCCTATTCCAGAGCCTTTTTGATACATGACAGAGTAGGGGAATGTATCAAATGAGGAGGGGAAAAAACTTAATGAAAAACCTAAATAATAAGGAAAACCTATCTTAATGTCTACTTGCTGGATTATAGAACTGTCAACCAAAATGGAAGGAATTTAATCGAAACATAGACTGCACCAAATTTGAGAAAACACTTATGCTAAAGGCACTTTGCATTAGACTCTAAAGATGCACTTAATGAGCTAATAGATTCTTTATCTTCTCTAATATCTGAAATTCCCATAATACTTTTATTTAGAGGACTGTTTAATATGAACTAGTGGTTACAGTTCATATTCCAGTACAGAAAAACTCTCAACATACTACCACCATCTCAATTTGTACTTTTTGCCTGACTCCAAAGAAAGGCTACCAACTACATTAGCTAATAGGCTTGACTACATTATTATCCCCAGTAGGTAAAGGAAAATGGCTAAAGTGCTTAGGAGTTTGCACACAAAAGGCAGTATTAAGGTAACATGCTTCCAATATTCTGTCTATCACAAGGAATCTAACACTAGCTCTCCTGAATGGGTAGCCATGTATTTCACAAATTTCTAGGCTACTAAGCAATTTAAAATAATACATAGAGTAATTTTACGTTCAGTTGAAAATTAATGTCAGACTTCAAAGTTGAAAACAGAAATGATAAAGAGTAAGTTCATAGATTGGAAAATTCATTCCTTATCACATGATTATGAAAAAATTCTTTCAACTCTAGAAATGTCTGCTGTCATTTTGGGATCGTAATTGTAATGATTTCCTAACTTTATTAAAACAATTCAGAAGATAAAAATTAAGTGAAGTACTAGATACTTACACCACTGGAAAGGAACTGAGCATACTTTACATGAGGTTAAGCAATATCCCTTCTAGAGATGATCAGCGTTATTTACCATTCTGTAGAATAAAGACAGAAAATTCAGAAATAATTGTTAATCAAGTGTTGAATAAATATTTTAATTATATAACTTAAGGATATTAACAGTTAACATCAGCTGATCATGTTTTTAAAAATTATTTTGTAGGGGGGCCAGCCCCGTGGCTTAGCAGTTAAGTGCGCGCACTCTGCTACTGGCGGCCCGGGATCGGATCCCGGGCGCGCACCGACGCACCGCTTCTCCAGCCATGCTGAGGCAGCGTCCCACATACAGCAACTAGAAGGATGTGCAACTATGACATACAACTATCTACTGGGGCTTTAGGGGGAAAAAAAAAAAGGAGGATTGGCAATAGATGTTAGCTCAGAGCCGGTCTTCCTCAGCAAAAAAGAGGAGGACTAGCATGGATGTTAGCTCAGGGCTGATCTTCCTCACAAAAAAAAAAAATTATTTTGTAATTTTGAAATGAAACATTGGTTTGAAGCAAAATTTTGAAAATAGAAAAATACTATTGAGAGCTTTCAAAATTATTCACTTGGAAAAAGTAATGAAAATCATATCCTGATGTTTAATCTGTTAATAAACACCACCTAGGGAAACATTTAAACATGCAATGGAATATACATACTATAGTGAGATTCAAGATAACTTTTTGATAATAACATCAATGCATTTAAAAAAACCTATGAATAAGGGGCCAGCCGGGTGGCGCAAGTGGTTAAGTGCCCACGTTCCGCTGCAGCGGCCCAGGGTTCGCCGGTTCAGATCCCAGGCGTGCACCGACGCGCTGCTTGGCGAGCCAGGCTGTGGTGGCGTCCCATATAACGTGGAGGAAGATGGGCACGGATGTTAGCCCAGAGCCAGTCTTCCTCAGCAAAAAAAGAGGAGGATTGGCAGATGTTAGCACAGGGCTGATCTCCTCTCTCACACACACACACAAAAAAACCACCTATGAATAAAAAACACACCTCAGCATGAGTGCAGCTAAAGGTCTTAACTGTAGGGTAAATTCTGGGGTCTAGTTCCAAGTAAATTATTTATTTTATTGCCAGCCAAATCTTGAGTGACAATTTCTCTAAGTCTCAATCTCTGCATCTAGTAAACAGGGTTAACGGATAACTACTTCAAAGGACTACAAGAAGTTAAAATATTTTTTAAATGGTGAAGGACTTCGCCAACTATCAAGCAGCAGGTGCTATTACTACCAATTGAAAAAAGAGATGACTATCCATGTGGCATTTAGATTACTGAACACAGTGTAAGTTAATAATGGAGTAAGTCTCCTACTTCTATCTTCTGATTAGCATTCTACTGCTTTATTCACCATTCAGACACTTTGCTTTCAATTCAGACATAGATCTTAACAAAAAATGAAATCTACTTTTCATGGTTTAGGAGCTAAAGATCACATATTACTGACTGAACTTATTACCAGTTTCAAACCATAATCTATAGAGGCAACTATTTCCATTAACTCAAAGTTAAGATTATAAATTAGACAAAAGTTAAAAACATTGATGTCAAAAACTCTCACACTAAAATACACATTCAGCACTGAATTATATTAAGCAAAACCAAAGTGTCTAACAGTGACTAATGAAATATGTGAAATGTACAGGGTAAAGTTAGAAACCTTTCACATTTGCATATCCTAAATTGTAGCTTTAATGAAACTGCTGTTATAGTTAATTTTCTTGCTGACTTAAAAAAATACCTGTCAAAGTAGCTATAAAGTACAAAGAAAATCTACTGAAAACGTTGCCAATTGCATTTCCGGGGCAAAACAGCAACACCAAGCCACAAAACTGACTACTGGTCAATACACATTTTTCACTCTTGCTCAAATTTAGTTAAAATATACTAAGTATCTACTTGTCCTGGCATAGGCACAAGGTCATAATATGAGTAAGGTACAGTCCCAAAAGTGTAGGAGCTTATTAAGCTGTGGGGGAGGGTCTAATAAAAATCACTCTCACTCATACACACACACACCTCTCTAATAAAAGGCACAATGTGAGAAGACTAAAAAGACAAGGTTTTGAGAGTAACAATTTAGAAATTAACTTAGGTTACAGAGAACTAGGAAGACTTCTTGAATGAGATCTCAGTTATCTGAAGATTATAATAAGATTTTCACCAAACCAAGGTGTGAAGGGAGGTAAGAATCAGTGGGTGAAAGAGTCCGGGAAGAAGGAACAGTTAAAGGAGATTATAAGGTATAAAGGAGATTATAAGGTAGGGAAAAAGTAGATCTGTGTTGCTGGCCTTTAACATGTATGTATGAGGAGCAGATAGGCTAGAAAGGGAGGACTTCCACAATGTATGGAGGGTGGATAAACGCCTTGGAGCAATCCTGACCTGTATTCTGTAAGTATGAGGACCACACTACAACTGAATCAGACAATCTAGGAAGTAAATCACCAAAGACCCTCATTCCACAGATGAGAAAATTGAGATTAAATCACTGATACAGACTTGTGTAACCGCAAATCAATGCATTTATGTCATTTATATTTCAGATATACATGGGCTTAAAATAGTCTATAAAAATAAAATATTCTAAGGGCAGAAGAGCAAGCAAACAAGGTGAAGGTGCTATATAATAAGTTCTCTCCTCTCAGGTTCAATGGCATAGAGCCCTTCTGGCATAGGAGACGGATTTTTTTTTTAACCTAAAAAAATGTTTTTAAAAAGCGTTTAAGAACTAAATAAAAATGTATATTAAAATTACACCCATGAGAAAGGCTATTATCAAAAAAACAGAAACTAACAGGTATTGGCAAGGATGTGGAAAAAATGAAACCTTTGTGTATTGCTTGTGAGAATGTAAAATAGCACAGCTGCTACGGAAAATAGTATGGTGAGGGCCGGCCCCGTGGCTTAGCGGTTAAGTGCGCGCGCTCCGCTGCTGGCGGCCCGGGTTCGGATCCCGGGCGTGCACCGACACACCGCTTCTCTGGCCATGCTGAGGCCGTGTCCCACATACAGCAACTAGAAGGATGTGCAACTATGACCTACAACTATCTACTGGGGCTTTGGGGGGAAAAATAAATAAATAAATAAAATTATTAAAAAAAAAAAAAAAAAGAAAATAGTATGGTGGTTCCTCAAAAAAATTAAACACAGAATTACCATGAGATCCAGCAATTCCACTTCTGGGTATATACTCAACAGAAGTGAAAGCAGGGACTCGAAAAGATATTTGTAGACCCATGTTCATAAGAGCATTATACGCAACTGTCAAAAGGTGCAAACAAACCCAAATGTCCACTGATGGATGAATGGATAAACAAAATGTGGTATATACACATAATGAATATTATTCAGCCTTAAAAAGGAAGAAAATTCTGACATAGTAACAGGGATGAACCTTAAAGACATTACTAAGTGAAATAAGTCAGTCACAAAAGGTCAAAGACTGTATAATTCCACATATATGAGGTACCTAGAGTAGTCAAATTCAGAGACAGAAAGTAGAATGGTGCTTGAAAGGGGCTGGAGGAGGGGGAACAGGGAGTTACTCTTTAATGGTACGGAGTTTCAGTTTGGGAAAATGAAAAAGTTCTGGAGATGGATGGCAGTGAAGTTGTACAACAATGTGTATGTACTTAATGCCACTGAACTGTATGCTTAAAAATGGTTAAAATGGTAAATCTTATATTATGTATATTAATACACAATAAAAAAGCAGAGGATTATAACAATAGAAAATGTATATTAAAAGGGATTAGGGATAAAAGGTCACGGATGCTGGATCACATTCAAGCTCCCAGCTATAAAAAGCAAGTAACCTATAAAACATAAAGAATCGGCTCCTCACTGGACTTCTCATCGGTTGTACTTGAAAAAGACAAAAGAGAGGATTGAATAACATTCACAGATGACAGAGAGAAAAGAATTCTGTACCAACAAAGCTTACATTTTGGTATATGAAAAAAATTGCAAATATGCAAGAATTCAGAGAGTATATTTTCTCAGGTATCCCAACTGAGAAAAATAATTGAAAAAGAGTCCTAACTAAGAAAAAAATAAACCAGAATAGAGATGTGGTAACAGGGAAGATGAAGAGAAAGGGTAATATAAGCAATGAAACTTTCAGTGTATATTATATAAGACACATTTAGATAATAATCAAATGTCTAGGAATGTATAACATAAATAAGGACTCTTGAAACAAAAGGACTAGATCACAAAAGAAATTTTAATAGATTTCTACATAATATTTGCTAAGCTATTTATTCAAAGTGAAAGAGTTGTAGGCAGGTGAGATGGAGGTAAGCAGAAGTAAAAGTACTCCCGAGATCTGACTGGGAAGAAGAGGATAAGGTGAAAAAGGAAGAGAGGCAGAAAATAAAAGTACTCTAAAGGTCTCACCTTTTCGAGGTCAAGGAGATACCAAGGCAAAAAACGAGCCTCTTTCTGGGAAAAATAGTGTTTTGTTTTCAAGTAACTGCAGGGAACTATTTATCAGTGAAGGTATAATTTTAAAGTCAAAAGTACTTAGTAGGATAAAGAGAAAGATTATACAATTATAAAATATACATACAGTTTATGACCAAGATATAACATAAACTTGTATATACCAAATAACACAGTAAAGCTTATTAGAACTTTAATAATTTTATTTTTTAAAATACAAATATACTGAATTATTTCAGTATACCTTTTAGAATGGACAAATATAGTTGGAAAGAAGAAAAAAACAAATTTATATTATCAATAAACATAATTTTTACAAGATACAAAAGATACCTTGTAACCCTCTAACAAAGAACAGATATTTTTTCCTATGTCCAGCACCATGATTGATCATAAACATAGTCATAATGAAAGCTTTAACTAATTGCAGAGATATACAATCTAAAAAATTTAGAAAAATGTACAAAAATATCTTTACTTTTAAACTACGAAGTGATTTTAGATAATCTTTGGATCAAAGAGGAAATAAAAAGGGAAATTATGATCTACATAGTCAGCTACAACAAAAAAATAGAATCATAATTAAAACCCAGGTGACCCAGCAAAATTTGTATTCAGAAGTAAGCTTATTGGGCCGGCCCCGTGGCTTAGCGGTTAAGTGCTCGCACTCCGATGCTGGCGGCCTGGGTTCGGATCCCAGGCGCGCACCGACACACCGCTTCTCCGGCCATGCTGAGGCCGTGTCCCACATACAGCAACTAGAAGCATGTGCAACTATGACATACAACTATCTACTGGGGCTTTGGGGGAAAAATAAATAAATAAATAAAATTAAAAAAAAAAAAGAAGTAAGCTTATGGCCTCAAAGACTTTTAATATTTTTAAAAGGCAAGGGGGAAAAAAACTCAGTAAATAAGAAATTAGAAAAATAATAAAATATATCAAAATAAACTAAGAAGAGAAACTAAGAGATACTATTTGGAATTAATATAAAGTAGTTATAGAGAGGATACCTAAGTCTAAAAGCTAGCTCTTTGAAAGACAATCACTCAGAGTCTAATAAGGGAGTGAAAAAAAAAAAAAAGACCGAGAGAGAAAACTCACAAGATTCAGAATGAAAAGAGAAATACAACATAAGCACAGAAGAGAATTAAGAAAACAAAACTAAGAGAACACAAATGCAATTTCATGGCAATTTATCTGAAAACCCAAAAGACAAGAATGATTTCCCAGTAAAAGAGGAAATATCAAAACTGACCGGAGAAATGAATCCTTGAGTAAAACCAAATACCATAAATTAAAGGTAATTTAAAATCTACTATAGAAAAAGACATCAAGACCAGCCAGATTCTCAGCAGATTCTTAATCTTTAAAAAACCATTTTAATAATCTTAAATTATAGAAAAATACAGAAAATGTTCCAATTCGTTTTATGAAGTCAGAATAACTCAATACTAAATCTAATAAAGGTAGTACACAAAACATACCATAAACCAATTTCACTTAAAAGTTAAATGTAGGGGCCAGCCTGGTGGTGCAGAGGTTAAGTGCGCATGCTCTTAACCTGTGAGGATTTGCAGGTTCGGATCCCAGGCGCGCACTGACGCACACTGCTTGTCAAGCTGTGCTGTGGCAGTGTCACATGTAAAGCAGAGGAAGATGGGCATGGATGTTAGCCCAGGGCCAATCTTCAGCAAAAAAGAGGAGGACTGGCATTGGATGCTGGCTCAGGGCAAATCTTCCTCACAAAAAAAAAAAAAGAAAAAGAAAAAGAAAGAAATGCAAGAGTGGTTCTTTTTTAGAAATCAACATAATCCAACATATCAACAAATTAAGGAGAAAAACTCATATGATTATAACAACAGATGCTGAAAAGGAATTTGGTAAAATTCAGTAGCCATTTATAATAAAAGCTCTATTGAAAAGAATAGAAAAAAATTAAACATTTTTGGGAAAAAAAACAACAGCAAATATCCTAAATAGCAAAACACTAAAAGCATTTAAAATAAAATTAAGATGGTATCCACACACCATAAATATATATCTATTCAATGTATGTATGTGTGTTTATATATATTTCTATATTTATATCTATATCAAGAACTTGCTTCTACATGGAAATTTGATGGTCTGTGGAAGAGTGGTTACTTTGAGTACAGGGTGGGAAACGGACAGATCAGGGACAGGGTGGGAAGGAGACTGTTCACAGGAAACTTTTATTATTTTAACTATATGAATTTTATTACTCATTCAATAAATCAAATGAATAAAATCAGGAATTAAAGCAGGAAGCCCTCTAAACCCTTTATAATTCAACACTGACTTGAAGATGATAGCAAACTAATAAGACATGAAAACAAATTAACTGGCATAAATATTAGAATGGAAAAGAAAAATATATTTTTGTTAATGATCTGACAGAATACAGGCATACCTCGGACATATTGCAGGTTCAGTTCCAGACTAACCACAATAAAGTGAATATTGCAATAAAGCAAGTCACATGAATTTTTTGGTTTTCCAGTGCATATAAAAGTTATGTTTACACTATACCGTGGTCTATTAAGTGTGCAATAGCATTATGTCTAAAAAAACAATGTACGTACCTTAATTTAAAAATATTTTATTGCTAAAAAATGCTAACCATCATCTGAGCCTTCAGCAAGTTGTAATCTTTTTGCTGGTGGAGGGTCTTGTAAAAAATGCAATATCTGCGAAGTGCAATAAAACGAGGTATGCCTGTACCTAGAAAACACAAGCAATTCTAGTAAAGAAAAACCCTGAAATTAATAAAATAAATTATAAAGCAGAGGTATGATAAATACATAAATAAAAATTTTCCCTAGTTTAGCAGGAAACACCTAGAAACATAATGGGAAAAATATTTCATTCACAGTAGTAACTTTTCCCCAATATTTATAAATAACTGTATTGAGAAATAAGCTCAAAAGACCTTTTTATTCAAAAATAGTATCTTAAAGTTATAAAGGAGAAAATCCAAGAACCACCAAGAAAATCGAACAAAAGGAGAAAACCGTAAGTGGACTTCACTAACCACATATCAGAATATATTCAAAAGACATGTCAGAAGTCCCCCCTTATCTGTGGTTTTGCTTTCCGTGGTTTCAGTTACCCCTCAGTCAACCACAGTCCCAGAATATTAAATGGAAAATTCCAGAAATAAACAATTCATAAGTTTTAAATTGCCCTCCATTCTGAGTAGCATGATGAAATCTCGTGCTGTCCAGCCTTGTCCCGTTCTGTACACAAATCATCCCTTTGTCCAGTGGATACCATATATGCTATCCATGAGTCAGTCAGTAGCTGTCTTGGTATCAGACTGACTGTCAGGGAATTGCAGCACTTGTATTCAAGTAACCTTTATTTTACTTAAAAATGGCCCCAAAGTGTAGGAGTAGTGATGCTGGCAATTCAGATATGCCAAAGAGAAGCTATAAAGTGCTTCCTTTAAGTGAAAAGGTGGTAGTTCTTGACTGAATAAGAAAAAAATCATATGTTGAGGTTGCTAAGATCTATGATAACTTTTATTACAGTATATTATCATTGTTTTATTTTATTATTAGTTGTTGTTGTTAATCTCTTACTGAGCCTAATTTATAAATTAAACTTTACCATAGGTATGTATGTATAGAAAAAAACACAGTATATATAGGATTTGGTACCATCCGAGGTTTCAGGCATCCACTGTGAGGTCTTGGAATATATCCCTCGGATAAGGAGGGATTACTGTAATCAAATCAATATGGCACTGGCATAGGAATAAACACACACGAGTGGAACAGAATAAAGAACTTAAATATAGATTCCAGCACATATGAGAAAATGTACAAGTCAAAAATTAAATAGTATTTCAGCAGGAAAGGATATTTTTAAAACAATCACCACAAAAATGGTTATCATCCAGCCAAAAAAAATTAGATCTTTATCTTACATTATATATAAAAAAATAAAATTCAGGTGAAATAAAGGCAAATGTAAAAAACAAATCACAGCAATACATTCTACAACAAAATTTATAAGATGACATGTCTCCTAAACATTCTTAACAAAGAGCAGAAACTTTAAAAGATAGACATAAAAAGTTTTAAATTTCCTATTATGAAAAAACCATAAACAAACTAAGCAATTAAATCAGAAAAAAATATTTGACATGTAGAAAAAGAGCAGATCCAATTGGTCAAGTTTATAAAAAATACTCAAACTTACTAGAAGTCAGGTAAATAACAATTAGTTTAACAATGAGATATCACTTTAGGAAAAATTTTAAAGATTGATAATATCTCCTCAAAAGGGTACTATCGTATTTCATTGGCCTAAATGTGAATTATGACATCCTTTTGGAAAGAAATCTGGCAACATATATTAAAACTTAAAGTACTTACACCTTTAACCTGCCAGTCCTGCTACTGGGAATCCATCATATAGAAATAAAAGTAATCATACATAAAACGTACAAGGATGTTTATTGTCATTTATTTTCCAACTTCTTCTCTCTATAAACAGAGTTGTTTCAATCAATACAGGAACGGCTGAATAAATTACAATATACTTTGACCAATTAACACAATGCAATCATTAAAAAGAATAAATCAGAGTTTTATCAGGTGACGGTGGGATTTGCACATTGCAGTGTTGAGTAAAAAAAAAGCAAAATACAATCAAATGAGTATAACGTGATCAGGTTTAAAAAGAAAAACTACAGGGGCTGGCCCAGTGGCACAAGCGGTTAGGTGTACGCGCTCCACTGCCGCGGACTGGGGTTCGCCGGTTCGGATCCCCAGCGCACACTGACGGACCGATTGTCAAGCCATGCTGTGGCAGCGTCCCATATAAAGTGGAGGAAGATGGGCACGGATGTTAGCCCAGGGCAGCTAAACATCCTAAATCCTCCTCAGCAAAAAAAGAGGAGGATTGGCAGATATTACCACAGGGCAGAACTTCCTCACTTTTTAAAAAATAAATAAAAAGAAAAACTACAATAAAAAATCCCTTTATTAAAATGTGCACGTCTCACATGTATATATATATATATATATATATATACATACATACAGATATCAAAGTACATGATCATGGAGGAAAAAACAGGTGGTCAACAGGTAATGGAACTGGGTAAAGAAAGGGTGTGTGTGTACAGAATATGGGTCAGGAAGGATAAATGCATATATGCAATAGATACACGCACACTTTTATGCAAGAAAACTGTAAAAATTTCTACTATGATAAATGGACTCAATTATTAAATGATTAGTTTAGGGTTGTCAAAATCCTACGCAAAGTCAGGTTGAGCAATAAAGAAGGTTACTGTCAGCATTGTTGACCCTCGAAGAAAAATATAACCCAGAAAATTCATTAGGAATAAGAACCTGTAGATGCTGTGTTACCCACAAGTGGTAAGAAGGCTCCTTTTTACCCTAGTTTTTCTCTTTAATATAAAAAGTAATAACTGCGTAAGGGAAAGAAAAACATGAATTTCAAAAGACTTACAGTAAGTCTCCCACCCCAAATCCCTTTTTGTCTTCTATCCAGATACTGTTTACACTTTCTTCATACATCTTTGCATACATGTGATATAACTTGGGGATAAATTTTCTTTAGTGGAACTGTTATGACAAAGAGTATATACATTTTAAATTATGATAGATTTTGTCAAACTGCCTCCCATAGAGACACCAATTTATACTCCCACCTTTGGGAAATACTTAGTTATGAATCCAGTATGTCAGTGGTGATCAACAATTGAATTTACATTATGCAGTTCGGCATGTATCTGTTTCCCTCAATAATAGTAAACACAGAAACGGCAGAATATTTAAACCAAGGAAGAAAGAAATAACAAACAAGGAGTGTAAAGCTTTAGGAAGAAAGCAAAGCATAAGAGAGAGTAGAGAGTTAGCTTTGCTACAGCAAAGGCAGCAAGCAAGCCATCAAAGGGAGAGGTGACAGGGGACATTGCAAACATCAGTTAGTGAGACCCTTAAGCCCAGATTTGGATACCAGAAGTCTGAAACAGCCATTACAGAGCCCCTTTTACTGCTCTTTTAGCACTTCACACAGAATCCAGTGTTATCCACCTAAAATACCTATTTAAAATAAAAAAAATGTATTAAAATACAGAGGTAGAAAAGCCTCACAATCCCTTAACTTAGACACTATTAGTACTTTCAATTTACAGATGAGGAAATGCACCTTCTTCCTGACTAGATACACATCTAAAAAACACACACACACACAAATATATAAATAAACATAACACATAGAGGTAAAAAAGGTCTGAAAACTCCACTAGAACAAATAAACAGTGAGCATCCTTTCCTTTTAGCTCTCAGTCCTTTTTTTTTTAAAGTATAGTTGATATACAATATTATATTAGTTTCAGGTGTACAACGTAGTGTTTCGACATTTATGTACATTACGAAATGATCACCACAGCAAGTCTAGTAACCATCTGTCACCACACAAAGTTATTATAATATTAATTACTATATTCCCGATGTTATACATCACATTTCTATGACTTTTTTTTTTTTAAGATTTTATTTATTTTTATTTTTTCCCCCCAAAGCCCCAATAGATAGTTGTATGTCATAGCTGCACATCCTTCTAGTTGCTGTATGTGGGACGAGGCCTCAGCATGGCTGGAGAAGCGGTGCGTCCGTGCGCGCCCGGGATCCGAACCCAGGCCACCAGCAGCGGAGCGCACACACTTAACCGCTAAGCCACGGGCCGGCCCTGTGACTTACTTATTTTATAACTGGAAGTTTCTGCCTCTTATTATTAGCACTCAGTCCTTCTGTCCAAAGATAAATACTATTAAGTTTCCTGTGAATCTTTACGAAGATAAAAATTAAGAAATAAATATACATAGACCTGCATATATCTAACATACAATTCTTATTTTTAATGGTGGACTTGAAAAACTTTTTATTATGAAAATTTGCAAACATATAAAGGGAGAGTAATAGATGCTTAAATACCCATTACTCAGCTTGAATAATTAACAATTTCCCTCCCTGCTCCCCTGTTCCAATGGGTATTTTCAAGAAAATTTCAGACATTTTATCATTTTAACATACAATTCTTAGCAAGCTTCAATATCTGGTTTCCAAATCCAGAGTAGACTAGACATAGAAACTTAGAAAGTGGTTGAGAGTGTATAAAAAGGCTTTACTACCAAAAAATGATAGCTGCCTGACAAGAATAAAATAAAATAAATGAAAACAACTATTTAATTATAGATATATACACATAACACTGACTCATCAAAAAGTTAAAGTCACGTTTAGGATTTTTGCTTAAAAAGGCAGGAAAGTATGTGATAACATTTGTTTTTAAAAGTTGAAATGGTTAAAAGAAAAGTTTACATTTTAGGAAGTTAATCAGAAGGTGTTTCACTTATGTCAAACATTTCTTATCTTGAATGAGGCTTTACCACATTTAGCTGTGATCTCAGAGGCACATGGAGAGTTTTGCTGTGAAGAATGGCTGGTGACTGTGGAAAACGGAACCACAGATATAGGAATCAAAAACTCATCTAGATTAGAATACTGATCTCTCAAATAATGCCTCTACGTACCTTAAAACTGTAAACAACAACTACTACCACTATTTAATGAATACTTCCCTGGGCCAGACAC